TTTTGTTTTATTTTTTTCATATTGTGGTGTTTTAAGAACACATACTCTATCTGAAGTAATATATTCTTTATGATTATGAATTTGAGTTGTAACTAATTCATATAAATTAGGAAACAAATTGATAGGTTGATGATTTTTAGCACAAAAATAAACATTTCTCATAAGTGATATAATATTTAATTTATCGATACCCAATTGCTTTGCAAAATTAGTAATAATTTTTGTTTGTTGTGGTTTGGAAAGATCTTCAGATTCTTTGTGCTCAATTGTTTTTATGTGATTTTTAATACTTTCTAACTGATATTTTGTTGTACCTACTGCAAATACTGTCTTTCCATTTCTTTCTCTACATATTGTGCAAAATAATACAACTTTATTTTTAACTACTTTTTTTAACCATGGATATATCTTAAACCAATTTTGATTTGGGTCTTTACGAATATGAGATCTTTTGATAGATACTTGTTCTGTATCTGATACTTGCTCTGTATTTGATATTTGTTCTGTATTTGATACTTGTTCTGTATCTGATGCTTGTTCTGTATCTGAACTAGAAGATAATTTTTCTTGATCTTTACTTTTTTCTTGTGATTTTTTTTTTTTTATTCATTAATTTAGTAGAAGAAAAAAATCGGTTTATGCTTTTTTTGTTTTTTTTAGAACTAACCATTGTTGATTAAAAGAATGGTCAACAAATCAAAAAAATGGCAAGGCAGAGATATACTATACCAGAAGTAACTCTTCTAGATTGCGCAAGTCAGGATTCTAGTTGAAACAAGTACCGATAGTTAATTTGATCAAATTGGGCATACGATTAAGCACATGTGTTCAAGATAAGTATGATTTAAATAGTTTCCTATTTCAGAACCGATTAGATAATTATAATTGATAGCAATAGGTCGAATATAAGAATAGCTATTACAGCAAATACCATTTTTTTAGACACAAGGAGGGAAATTTGTACCTGAATTTTCCCATCTCTGCCATTTTTGTCAGTGTGGGAAACCACCGGCTAATGCTATACAGCACAAATTCAGCTAATAACAATATTACCTGAGCAATTATAGTTGCTATGATATATGCTACAAATTCTCAATAAAAAATCACAGATGCTTCTAATTAATATATTTGTGTGTGGTTTTCAATATAGAAATGCTAAATTCACACAGCAGATTTGATTTTTTGATTAAAACATGATCGCAAACCAATCATAAACGAAGCTTTACTTTGAATTATATATTGTATATAGTAATTATTATACGTATTGCTCAGTCATTACAATCTTTAGCCCATATTACTGTATTAAGTTAAACAACATCGCTCACACGTATTTGATCTAAATCACGTCTATACTAACTTACCTGACAATTCCTATAAGATTAATATAAAAAATAATTAAATTTTGTATTTTTTAATAACAAAATATTATGCAGTCAAAAAAGCAATTTAAAATATGTAAAATAAGTTATCTGGGTGGTTAAATCAATTAAACCACAAGTCTCTAGTGGAAGTCAAGTCTGTTTTTTAACCTTGTTTTTGGATCATTAAAAACAAAATCTTGTTGGATATAAACATGAAAATTTCATACCACAATACCGAAGCTATTCTTAATATCTTTGCATATTTTTACATAGTGGTTTCTTTGGCATCACTAATAAAAGTTTTTGTACTTGTAGATCTCAAAAACCAAGGTCTTATTAGATATAAATATGAAACTTTAATACTCCAATACTTTTAAGATCTTTACCCTGTTATCACATACTGTCATATTTTTACGTGGTGATTTCTTTAGCATTGTTAATTATAATAAAAGCTTTTATAGCTGCGGGATCTTTAAAACTAAAAAAAAAATTGTATTTTATAGAGCACCGATTAGTGTTAATTATTGGATGATCATTGATCTGTGATATATAGTCTTGGGCGTATGAGGCAAATTTTCATGCGTATGAGCAAAATTTAACAATTTTCGTGTATATGGGGCAAAATTTGCATATATGAGCAAATATTCGCACGTATGAGGCAAAATTTGCGTGCATAAGACAAAATTTGCGCATATGAGGCAAATTTTGTGCTATATATGGTGTATAAAGAGCGCCAATTATTTTTAATAATATATGCGCAAATTTAAATCTATGTGCACTGTGCCTACTGCGCAAATCCAATTTACATCACTGGCGGCAGCACCTGGCTCGAGATATGAATTAGGATAGTATAACATAGTTACTTAGAGTCAATCAAAAAGTCAAAAAGAAAAATTAAATATTAAGGCGAAGCTTTACAATAAAGATATACAAATGTTGCATTTATTATATAATTTTTATACTCATTTGATATAGGTTATAATAGTGTATTTTCTTTTTCTTTTTTTGAATACATCTATCAGAACTATCCTATTTTCTTTTTTTTTACTTTTTTTATCTTTTTCTATTATGTTAGAATACTATTTAGAATTTATCTTTTTTTTTTAGTTATGTTTTTTTTTTTT